TACAGTATACCGCGCTGAGCCAAGCTGGCTCAAAACAAATGTCCCTATGACAGATTAATCTGTCAGCCCGCTGGATGTGTGGTATATACAGTATACTGAGCCAAGCTGTTTCAAAACGTACCGGTACATCCCTATGGTAATCAGACCGCTGGATGTGTGTATATACGTGAAGTAGCTGAGGCTACATACAGTATACGCTGGGCCAATCACGGCGAGCGATGTATTCTACTAATGAATACAAAGCCTGCTTGGATTGGCTGAAGTTGTGACATCATCAGCCCACCTCTCTGACTCAGCCAATCCAAGCAGGCTTTGTATTCATTAGTAGAATACATCACTCGCCGTGATTGGCCCAGTGTATACTGTATGTAGCCGCAGCTACCGTACATACACGCATCCAGCGGGCTGATTACAGTAGGGACGTACCGGTACGTTTTGAAACCGCTGCGCTCAGGGCAGTATACTGTATATACCGCACATCCAGCGGGCTGACAGATTAATCTGTCATATGGACATTTGTTTTGATTCAGCTTGGCTCAGCACGGTATACTGTATGTACAGTATTACCACACATCCAGCCAGCTTGACCCAAACTCAAGGTTCATATTTTGTACCCCGCGTATAAGACGACCCCCAATTTTTGGGGTGTATTTTTAAGTATAAAAAGTAGTCTTATACGCCAGAAAATACTGACTGCAAATCTAGTATCAACTGGGATCATTTGAAAGTCCTTGTTTGAAATATTTTTTCTGCTAAATTCCTGAGTTTCCTTAGTTTATTTTTTTTTTTTTTGCTAAATTCTTGAGTTTCCTTTTTTTTGTTAATTTTATTTAAATGTTTCTTTAAAACAATGTCAGTGTTGAGATCTTCTTGCTGCTGGCAACTTCGTAAGAGATAGATCATTTTCCTTAACTGCGTCACTACCTTGAAATTTGAACTGGGGAAAGGGGGGGGGGAGATAATGTAATGGGTCAGTCCACCCAAAACAATTTAGCATGGTTGACCACCTGCTGGCTTCTCATATCTCTTGAATAACTCAAACAACTGCACTTTACATAATTCAAATAAGTGGCAGGTCAGCATAATGCAAACAAAAGCACGTCAGCAGACCTGGTATCGGTGTAAAGGTTTTTCTGCTATTTTTCATTACATATCAGCCGCCCAAAGCTAAAAGAACAGTTTTGGATATGCTGACTTCCTAAAATATGATTATTCACAAAAATTCTAAATTACAGACTATTAAAAAGCAAAATACAAAAATTAAAACATCAATCTTTGATAAAGGATTCTTGTAGTTGTATTACATTTTTTTTAGTTATACAAAATTGTATTGTGGTCCAATGGAACAAAATTTAAAACAAGCAAGAATTAGTTTGATACACTTTCTTATATATTGAGTTACAAGCTTTACAATTAGATAAAACTGTAAATAAATACTCTGCGCTTAGTGTAACACGTTAAAATATAAATACAAAATACTTTCTCATTGAATAAGACTGAAAGCTTCCACCTTGCAGGGCTGTGACTGATCTAGCAGACATCCACTATAAATATAAAGCCTTATAACTCTGAAATACCATGCATCTCCACTAACAAGCTTTAAGAACGTTAACATCACATTTCCGCAGATACCTAATTCTCTAGTTTACTTCACTGAAACTTATTTAGAGACCCATTAAATGTGTAATTATGTAGCCTATTAAACTGTAACTGCAGTGTTTGTATTCCATTTGGTAATCCCACATGCTATTATATGTTAGCCGAAATACCTGTTTAAAGTAATTACAGTATTACCTTCATGATAAAATCCAGACTGAATTTGCAAGACCCTTGGAAGGGTTTTGAGGTCCAAAGACTGAATGAATTTCTGAAGTGTAGCTGTCATCTTGGAAGATTAGACATGTAATCTGCTACAAATTGTATTCTGAAAGAGCAGACGTGTAAGTTATCCAGCTACAGAGACCGTTTTAGTTTTTTTGGGTTACATACAGGAAGAGGCTTTATTTGTCACAGAAAGAAGTTCAGTTCCTGTTCTCACCTGCCTCAAAAACTCAGACAGCTTTGTTCAGACACCTGCAAGTAGCCAGGATCCTACTTGACTTACACCCAAAATAAAATTCTACTCTATTCTAGGCAAGGCAAGCATTATGGACTCTATATCCAATCATTCTAGGGTCATCTGGATGTTCATATTCCTTCCTAAACAATCCCAATACTAAGACCTACACCACTCTAATTCAATATCTAATGCTGCAACTGTTTTGACATCTGAGACATCAGAAATATATTTGCATTAGATTGCTCATTTACAGTATGCCATTGCTACATAGTTTAACATAACCAGTTATTTATTTTATGTTTTAATAATTTTTTTTTCATCACTCTCTCCAAATGCCATACCCAGAATAAAGTTTACAGTTTTCATATTCTTAATGCAGCATACAGATTTCTCTTAAAGGTGAATGCCTGACAGATAAAACAAAAAAGAAAAAGCAACTCTGTACTGTATTCATTCTCGTCCTCCCTACAGCAGTAATACTGCTACAGGGCGGCATGAATGCGCAAAATCACGTATATATACGTGATTTTGCATTGCTGGGTAGGGGGGCGCTCAAGCGCCCTATCCTTGCCACTATTTGCGGCTTTGGCTATCAGTCACCGGGTTCCGGTCGGTTATTACTCACCAGCACCCAGTGATCGAGGAGCATTACCAATAGAGGGAGAAAACTATAAGTAAACAATACAGTTCTCTCCCCTGTCAGCTCCTGCACACTGCTATGCATGGTTTGCATAACAGAGCTATGCATAGCAGTGTGCTTACAGTGAAGCACACACACACACAGCTCCATTGTAAAACAGCACACAGTTAACCCTTTGATGACCACAGATGTTAACCCCTTCCTGCCCAGTGCCATTAGTACAGTGTCAGTGCTTTTTATTAGCACTGATCACTGTATGGGTGTCACTGGGGATGTCAATGACACCAAGTCTGTTCCCCCCAGTGTCAGAATGCCCGCTGCAGTCCTGTTGTAAGTCGCTGATTGCCGCCATTACTAGTAAAAATAAAAAAAATCCCAGTATATATACCGCCATTTGTAAACGCTATAATATTCACGTAAACCAATTAATTTACACGTATTAGGATTTTGTTTTAGTAAAAACATGTAGAAGAATATCCTTTGGCCTAAAATTATGAAGAAATTAGATTTTTTTAATTTTTTTACTGGATATGTTTAATAGCAAAAAGTCAAAAATATTGTTTTTTCTCAAAACTGTCTGTCTTTTTTTTTTTATAGCGCAATGAATTTAAAACGCAATCAAATACCAACGAAAGAAAGCTCTATTCATGGGAAAAAAAGGACAAATTTTAATTTAGGTGCAGTGTTGCATGACCACACGCAATTGTCAGTTAAAGTAACGCAGCGCCATAACGCAAAAAATGGCCTGGTTTAGGAAGGGGGGTAAATCCTCTGGAAGGCAAGTGGTTAATTCAACATTAAACTGTATTTTTTAAATGCAAGCAGTGTAAGTACTTGAATTTGACATGCTATCAGCCTATTGCTGTCCCTGTAAAACAGCTTAGTCTAGGGGAGAAGCAGCACAAGGTGCCAATAAGTTGGGCCGCACTGCCAGGAGCATGCCAATATGAGGAGAGAGAGGAATGAAATGAGATCAGCAGTGTAATGCTTCTCCTTTAATTGTCTAGTCACAAAAGGAGACCTGTAAAGCTAGGTACACACGGACCAAAATTTGGTCAGTTCAGTAGGAACCCTTTCTGTTCCATAGAAGCTGATAGTTAGACCTGCTTATGTTGAACGGTCCCTCTGGAAAACCAACATTCAACCAACCACTGCAGCTAAAGGTTGCAACATTGATCAGTGTATTTTGACAGTTGACATGGTGTCAGGAATGGACTGGCCAGCAATAGTGGGACTCACCTGCCTTATGAGCTGCAGTACCAGGGCTGGCCAGCGGGTGCTCCCAGCAATCAGAGACTCAACCTTGCAGCCAGTCAAACACCTGGAACTAATTATACTGGTGTATTTAAGGGATGGCCAGACCTGCAGACTCTGCCTTGGTGTATGTTTTTTTCCTGGGCCCTGTATCCTGTTCCTGCTTCCTGTTTCTGTTCCTGTTCCTATTCCTGTTCCTGTCTTGTTGCTGACCCCGGCCTGATCTATACCTCTGCTGACTTCTCCTGCTCTGACCCCGGCTCGTTCCTGACCATTCTCCTCTGCCTGACCCTCTGTACCACGCTGCCCGCTACCTGCTGAACCTGGCTTGTGACCCCCGACCATTCTCCGCTGCTCCCCCTGTACCTACCTGCCCGATTGATATTGACCTAGCCTGCCTGACGACGCTTGCATTGTATGTACTGTTATCTGCGGGTGGTTTGGTTTGGTTTGTTTGCACTGTGTTATGTTTTAGTATTGCACTGCGTTTATGTTTGTATTGTTAGTGTTAATAAATTACATTGTTTATAACATATCTGAAGTCTGCGTTTCCCTGCGTCAGTCACACACCTCTGGTCATACCCGGGAGCCCTGACATTACACCAAGGCCAATCCTGACCAGAAGTGGCTGCACAGGGAAGCCATCTTGGTTTGTTGATGGGAAGGATGGATCTTGATGAGGTTGAGTATTTATATCTGCTAGTGTTTGATGACAGGGAGTATGCTTATCAAACTCTGAAGGAGTATACCCGGGATGAACTGCTAGAATGTATACGGCTCGCTCATGTTCTAGTAGATCAGGGCACAGAGTTCTCTGAGGTGCAGCCATTGATTGAGGTTTGTGCTGAGTTGGTTTCATCTGGTACCCCCCGAATGCAGGGATGAATATTTGCCACCATTTAGTGCAGACCAGGTAGAGTCCCTGGTATGGTTATTAGAGGATGATGTGGGTTACTTTCTGGAGCGTTATTCCACATGTTCACCACAGGTACTAAGAGATTGTATAAACGCAGTGCAGTCTTTGGTCAGACAGGCTTTGTGTAAGCTCAGCTTTGTTCAACCCATACTGCAGACATGGACAGATTTGTTGCACCAGCCTCAGTCAGCTTACAAAAACCCAGTCCTGCTTCTAATCTATTTCCTCAAAACTCTATTCCTGCATTCCCAACAGCTCCTCCTGCCCTGCTATCTACCGCATGTCAGTACCCTGTTCCCACTCGCTGCACCTATCCTGCCGTTAACCCTGTAAAGAAGCCCTCTGTAGCGACTGTTCCTTCCCCTGTTCCATACTCCAGCTCTTCTCTGTCTCCAGCTGCTCCATTCATTTGCAGACCTGCGTTTACTTGCAGTGCTCCAGTAGTTAAAACCAGAAAAAAGCGAACATTCTTTCCAATCAGTACCATCCTGCCAGTATCCAAACCGGTCAGCCTGCCGTCCGAGAACCTGCCTTCCGTGGTTCAGCCTGATGCCTCTCTTCAACCTGATGCCTGTACTCAGCCTGAAGCCTCTAAGCCTCTACTCAGCCTGAAGCCTCTACTCAGCCTGAAGCCTCTACTCAGCCTGAAGCCTCTACTGAAGTCTCTACTCAGCCGGATGCCTCTACTCAGCCGGATGCTTCTACCCAGAATAATGAACTGATCCAGCCTGACGATCCTATTAGGCCAGTTGACTCGATGCCCGCTGTTGATCCAGATGATCCGGTACCTGATCCGGTGCCCGCTGTCGTGCCAATTGACTCGGTGCCCACTGCCTTGCCAGATGACGCAGTGCCCGCTGGCGAGCCAGATGACCTGATGCCTGGTGACCCAGTGCCCGCTGTCATACCTGGTGACCCAATGCCCGCAGTCTTGCCAGACGACTCGGTGCCCGCAGTCTTGCCAGACGACTCGGTGCCCGCAGTCTTGCCAGACGACTCGGTGCCCCAGTCTTGCCAGACGACTCGGTGCCCGCTGTTCCGCCAGTTGACTCGATGCCCGCTGTTCCGCCAGGTGACTCGGTGCCCGCAGTCTTGCCAACGATTCGGTGCTCGCAGTCTTGCCAGACGACTCGGTGCTCGCAGTCTTGCCAGACGACTCGGTGCCCGCAGTCTTGCCAGACGACTCGGTGCCCGCAGTCTTACCAGACGACTCGGTGCCCGCAGTCTTACCAGACGACTCGTGCCCGCAGTCTTGCCAGACGACTCGGTGCCCGCAGTCTTGCCAGACGACTCGGTGCCCGCTGTTCCGCCAGTTTGACTCGGTGCCCGCAGTCTTGCCAGACGACTCGGTGCCCGCAGTCTTGCCAGACGACTCGGTGCCCGCTGTTCCGCCAGTTTACTCAGTGCCCGCAGTCTTGCCAGACGACTCGGTGCCCGCAGTCTTGCCAGACGACTTGGTGCCCGCAGTCTTGCCAGACGACTCGGTGCCCGCTGTTCCGCCAGTTGACTTAATGCCCGCTGTTCCGCCAGACGACTTGGTGCCCGCAGTCTTGCCAGACGACTCAGTGCCCGCAGTCTTGCCAGACGACTCGGTGCCCGCAGTCTTGCCAGACGACTCGGTGCCCGCAGTCTTGCCAGACGACTCGAAGCCCGCTGTTCCGCCAGTTGACTCGATGCCCGCTGTTCCGCCAGACGACTCGGTGCCCGCAGTCTTGCCAGACGACTCGGTGCCCGCAGTCTTGCCAGACGACTCGGTGCCCGCAGTCTTGCCAGACGACTCGGTGCCCGCAGTCTTGCCAGACGACTCGAAGCCCGCTGTTCCGCCAGTTGGCTCGGTGCCCGCAGTCTTGCCAGTTGACTCGGTGCCCACTGTCGTGCCTGGTGACTCGGTGCCCGCCGCTCCGCCTGGGGGCCCGAGACCTGTCGCTCCGCCTGGGGGCCTGAGACCTGTCGCTCCGCCTGGGGGCCTGAGACCTGTTGCTCCACCTGGGGGTCCGGCGCGCGCCACTCCCGCCTGGGGTCCGGCGCCCGCCGCTCCGCCTGGGGGCCTGAGACCTGTCGCTCCGCCTGGGGGCCTGAGACCTGTCGCTCCGCCTGGGGGCCTGAGACCTGTCGCTCCGCCTGGGGGTCCGTTGCCAGCCGCTCCGCCTGGGGGCCCGAGACCTGTCGCTCCGCCTGGGGGCCTGATGCCTGTCGCCCCTCCTGGGGGCCCGATGCCTGTCGCCCCTCCTGGGGGCCCGATGCCTGTCGCCCCTCCTGGGGGCCCGATGCCTGTCACCCTCCTGGGGGCCCGATGCCTGTCGCCCCGCCTGGGGGCCCGATGCCTGTTGCCCCTCCTGGGGGCCTGGCGCCCGCCACTAAAAATCTACTCCGCTTGGGGGCCCGATGCCTGTCGCCCCCCGCCCGGGGGCCCGATGCCTGTCGCCCCGCTTGGGGGCCCGGTGCCTGTCCGCCCCGCCAGGGGGCCCGGTGCCTGTCGCCCCGCCTGGGGGCCCGATGCCTGTCGCCCCGCCTGGGGGCCCGGTGCCTGCTGCTCCGCCCGGTGGCCCGGTGCCTGCTGCTCCGCCCAGTGGCCCGGTGCCTGCTGCTCCGCCCGGTGGCCCGGTGCCTGCTGCTCCGCCCGGTGGCCCGGTGCCTGCTGCTCTCCGCCCGGTGGCCCGCTGCCTGCTGCTCCGCCCGGGTGGCCCGGTGCCTGCTGCTCCGCCTGGTGGCCCGCTGCCTGCTGCTTTCGCCTGGTAATCCGATGTGCCTCTGCCCGGAGTCCAGCCCGATGTGCCTCTGCCCGGAGTGCCTCTGCCCGGTGTGCCGCTGCCCGGAGTGCCTCTGCCCGGAGTACAGCCCGATGTGCCTCTGCCCGGAGTACAGCCCGATGTGCCTCTGCCCGGAGTCCAGCCCGATGTGCCTCTGCCCGGAGTCCAGCCCGATGTGCCTCTGCCCGGAGTCCAGCCCAATGTGCCTCTGCCCGGAGTGCCTCTGCCCGGTGTCCAGCCCGATGTGCCTCTGCCCGGAGTCCAGCCCGATGTGCCTCTGCCCGGAGTCCAGCCCGATGTGCCTCTGCCCGGAGTCCAGCCCGATGTGCCTCTGCCCGGAGTCCAGCCCCCGATGTGCCTCTGCCCGGAGTCCAGCCCGATGTGCCTCTGCCCGGAGTCCAGCCCGATGTGCCCCTGCCCGGTGTGCCTCTGCCCGGTGTGCCCCTGCCCGGTGTGCCGCTGCCCGGAGTCCTGCCCGGTGTGCCGGTCTTTGATATCCCGCCAGTTACCAGACCCGGGCGGTGGAACATTTTGCCCAGCTAGGACTGTTTGGGAGCGTCCTGAGGCCGCTCCTTGAGGGGGGGGGTACTGTCAGGAATGGACTGGCCAGCAATAGTGGGACTCACCTGCTTTATGAGCTGCAGTACCAGGGCTGGCCAGCGGGTGCTCCCAGCAATCAGAGACTCAACCTTGCAGCCAGTCAAACACCTGGAACTAATTATACTGGTGTATTTAAGGGATGGCCAGACCTGCAGACTCTGCCTTGGTGTATGTTTTTCCTGTTCCTGCTTCCTGTTTCTGTTCCTGTTTCTGTTCCTGTTTCTGTTCCTGTTCCTATTCCTGTTCCTGTCTTGTTGCTGACCCGGCCTGATCTATACCTCTGCTGACTTCTCCTGCTCTGACCCCGGCTCGTTCCTGACCATTCTCCTCTGCCTGACCCTCTGTACCACGCTGCCCGCTACCTGCTGAACCTGGCTTGTGACCCCGACCATTCTCCGCTTGCTCCCCCTGTACCTACCTGCCCGATTGATATTGACCCGGCCTGCCTGACGACGCTTGCATTGTATGTACTGTTACCTGTGGTGGTTTGGTTTGGTTTGTTTGCACTGTGTTATGTTTTAGTATTGCACTGCGTTTATGTTTGTATTGTTAGTGTTAATAAATTACATTGTTTATAACATATCTGAAGTCTGCGTTTCCCTGCGTCAGTCACACACCTCTGGTCACACATGGGAGCCCTGACACATGGTGTTTAATCCAGGGGTGTCCCTAGGCAGGTGTGGGGGGTGCACGCTGCACTGGGTGACACCAGACCCGCTCCACGAAAAGGTAAGTTGTAAAAGCAAGTCGATGATCCCTGCAGGATGGTTCGGATCTGCAGATTGAGCATAATGGATCGGAATCCAATGCATTTTGCTCCCCAATCCATAGATCCGATCCATCTTGTGGGGATCGTCGGCTTGCTTTAAAATTTACCTTTTCGTGGTGCTTGTGGAGAGATAAGTTAACCCGTATAAGTTGCAAGCCAACGATCCCCACAGGATAGATCGGATCTGCAGACTGGGGAGCATAATGGATCGGACTCCGATCCATTATGCTCAATCCGCAGATCCGATCCATTATGCGGGGATCGTCGGAGGGGGTGTCACCAAGTGTTCCGGCTCCGGGTGACACCAACCCTAGGGATGATCCTGGTTCAATCATCCCACTGGTTGAACAAAAGAAAACTCACAGTGTGTACCAAGCTTAAAGTGGTTGTAAATCCCATGTACCATAAGTATTAAAGGCTAACATCTGTTTATAGTTTGCACAATAATAATGTAGATGGCATTATTTGTACCGAATATCTCCAGTACCATAGGAGTGTAATGGCCCAGAGCTCCGGAGGCAGAGTCATGACACTTCTGGACCCCCCTCCTAGATGTACACGCCCCCACAAATTTCCCTAGCTCAGCCAGGCTCACTGCGGGCTGGCGCAGTTACCCGTTGCGCCAGCCCGTCTCATGTTCTGACCAATCAGACACGCCCCCTCAAAAGTCTTGACTGTAATGGAACCGACCCAGTCTGCACTTGAATACTTCCGTTAGAACACCGCTTCTTCCCCATCCAAACACCGACAACAGACACCACAGCCGATCATACAAGACTAGACGACACCAGTCTTGAAGTAAACCAGAAGGTAGACTAGTTTATTTGAACACAGATACAACATATACACACTCAAGGGGACAATCCCCCCTCCCTGCATAATGACACAGGGTGGGGCAATCTACATTTAGTAACAAGAGATACACCAGCAGACAGTCCCATCAGGAGGGAGGGCTGCTGGAGACACCCCCCCCCCCCCCCTAAGCTAATACACATAAAGACATACTGTATATCCCATAATAGTTTGCTCCCAAACAATAGAACAATGGGATGCAGCCACATAACATCAAACAATCAACAACCCTTCACCCCAATATTAGGACAGATCACCCTGTACCCCTAACAGGCACAGGGTGATTTACACATAAGAGGGATATGGGGAGCTGAGACAGGGGTCTCTCCACCTCTCCAAAGTGAGCTGGGTTCCATGGGTCCCCCACCCAAAGTGACTCCTGTCACACTGACCAATCAGACACACAGGAAGGCACCACCTGCTACCTCAAGGCCCACAATACTAAAGCACTGAACACCCAATGCTGGGGGAGCCTGAAGAGGTAGGGGGAGGGATCTGTATGGATGTGCTATGTGTGCGACTGAGGGAGACAAGCCCCCTCACTCTCTCATTCATGAGTCTCCTAATTAGGTCTGTCAGTCACAGGAGCAGGGGCGTGGTGAGGCTTTCTTTTTTTTAATGTGTCAGATTTTTGGTAGATGACTGCCTGCTCTTTTCCCTGCCAGACTGGGGACAGATGACTTCTGCTGCTTTGCTGAGTAAGGTAGAATGTTTATTTTGATTTTGCTTTTTGGGGTTTACAACCACTTTAAGCGTTACTGGACTGTAGCAGAATAAAATCAAGTCTGTGCTGTGTGGCAGAGCTGTGTAAATCCCAAAAATGGATAGACATAAAAATCCTTTGGCAGATAAACAGCTCGCTTATGTATATTTCATCTGTTAGAATTTCTGCCTGGGTTCAACACACACAGATCCTACTTAATGAGAATTTATTAGCAAAATGAGAAAATTCACCAGCTACTACTAAGCAGTGCTGAGTAAAAAGATGGGAGTGTTAGGGTAGTAAGGAAATCATTCAAGAGGAGATTCAAGTGTAGAGATACACAGTAGTTTTGAAGATGTAATACTGTAATGCAGAGTAATTAAAGTGGTTGTAAAGGCTCAAGGTTTTTTACTTTCTTTACTCCCCCAACAGCCCCCCCCCCCCCAAATTGTACCTGAGCCTCCTCTTGATCCAGCGATGTGCAAGAGAGCTTCAGCTGTCACGATACTCCCTCTCCTCATTGGCTGAGACAGTAGCAGGAGCCATTGGTTCCCACTGCTGTCATTCACAGCCAGTGAGCCTATGAGGAGGGAGCGGGTGGTAGGGGGTTTCGAGCCGAGGATCTATGTGTCTTATGGATCCATAGAGCCGGGCTCAGGAGCAAGCACTCACCAATACACCACGGCTTGCTGCCACTGGTCAAGTGGGGGGAAGCCAGAAGCGCCAGGGGGGACCCAAGAAGAAGAGGATCGGGCTGCTCTTTGAAAAACCACTGCACAGAGCAGATAACTATGACATCTTTGTTATTTTTTTCAAAAAAGCAGAACCTTTAATATTACTTTAACCTCCCTGGCAGTATTCCCGAGTGTAGCTGGGGGTAAAGTTTCAGTACCACAAGCGGTAACCCCGAGCTACACTCGGGCTTACCATATGGGGCTGCTCCGCGATCCCTCGATCACTTACCTTGTCCTGCGCTCCTGCGATGTCCCTCCTGCAGTGTCCCCGGCAATGTAATCCGGCTGATGCCGGCATCTGTCATCTAGGTTCCGTCCTCTGCGAGCGTCGGGGCGTATGGGGGACGAAGCGGCGGGAAAATTTGAAAATGACAAAAAGTAACATTCATTAAAATCACTAAAATCACATAGTAAAACATTACTGTATCACACCATTTCACATACATTTTGTCCCTAGTGCTTTATCCTGTGCCCTGCCTGCACTTTTACTGTTCTTTCTGCCTGGAAACTGAGAAAAGTCCATGGCCTCCAAAAAGCGTCCCTTTAGGTCAAAAGCGGTTTTTAGACCAGCTAGAGAACAGCGATAGTAAATTAAAACTACTTAGAGTGATAATGATCCGTGGGGAAATTCGTCATCAGACACTGAAAACGATTTTGC